GGGGGCCTGAGAAGGAACACACTGCCGGTGGAGCCTCAGTCGTGTCTGGCTCTTTGCGACCCCATGGACTGTGGCCCACCAGGCTCCTCTGTCTGTGCAATTTTTCTGGCAGGAACACTGGAGTGGGTTACCATTTCCTTCTCTAACATATGTGTTTGTTCTAGAACAAGCACAAAGGGCAGAGGCTCCAGTAATTCCACTGTTGTCACCTCCTTGCCCCTGTCTCTCTGCTCTGGGGGCCTGAGAAGGAACACACTGCCGGTGGAGCCGCAGGGCGCTGGCGCATCGTGGCTCCTGCCTGCAAGTGGCATCCCGAGCTCTTTCTCCTCTGCTTGACTATGATGGCATGACTGCGTCTCTCTGAAGCTTCAGGAGGAAGTAGCCTCTCTCAGCCAAAAGCTGAGGTGGGAAAATGACATGTCTGTTTTCGATGTCAATTTATAACATAGGTCACAAAACGAAATGTCGCCATTCCATTAGAATTGTCAAAAAGAGGCCAACCTAGTGTGGCAAGGGTGCTGCCGGCTTACCTTGAAAGAAATTTCATACTGCTCTCCTCCCCAGATCTCCAGACCTGGATCATAGCCACCCAACTCCCAAAACCATTTGCGATCCACGGCAAAGAGACCTCCAGCCATAACGGGAGACCTGTGAAAGGAATAAAACCATCTTTAAAGGGCTCTGAGCATCAGGGACCCTGGCATTTTGCTTGGGGGTAAAAGTTGCAAACTTTAAGTTTCGTGGTCACTGCACAGAGGTTTTCAGCACAGGTTTTCTGTGAGTGTACATGAGTTCTCACGGGGTCTCCGATCGCTCCTGGAACCCCCATGGGCTTTGAACTTCATAGTTCAGGCTCTCAAGTCACTCACGCCCGGTGGAGCCACACATAGCTCCGTGTGTTTGTCATCAGAGAGAAGTATATGATGACTAGTGACTCACATGTTGGGAAAATCAGTGGTTTTATGGATTTTCCTCAAAGTGAAAGAGATCTTATACTATCAGACACATAAAAACATAGAAAATGCAGTTGTAGACCATACCTTTATTTAATTTCTCTTATGTATTCACCATGCATCTACCATTTCCAGGTCATGTCCATTTAACAGACTATAAGATGGTCAGAACAAAATAACCAACCAGAACTAGTTATTAGCATGCCGATGCTGGAGTTTAAACTAGGTCTTTTCACTTTAATGATGTTCTTTTAAAAGTCTAACTTTCTAGGAAATATTCTTTTGATCAAGTAATAATTTCAAGTTTTCTGTTCTTGCTAGGATGCATTGCAGTCACATTACTATGTAATGAGGTAATTTATAATCATTGGATCCTGCCCTAAAATGTTATTTTTTTGAAACTCAGGATCAGCTTTCCAGTTTTTCTGTTATTATTATTATTATTTGTTAATGTTTTTGCCACTGTTTTGCTGTGGGAGCATGAAGTCTTAACCACTGGACTGCCAGAGGAGTCAGCTCACATGTGTGTGTGTGTTTAATATTTATGTATTTGGCTGCGCCAAGTCTTAGTTGTGGCGCATGGGATTTTTTAGGTGTGGCGTGTGGGGTCTTTAGTTGTGACATGCACACAGTTACTGTGGCATGTGGGGTCTAGTTCCTTGACCTGGGATCAAACTTGGACCCTTGCATTGGGAGCTTGGAGTCTTAGCCGCTAGACCACCTGGGAAGTCCCTGCTTTTGTGTTTTTGAATGTTCACTATGTGCTGGGCTCTTCTGTGGGATTCTTGTCCAGTTCCCTTGATTAATCCTCACTGCAGCCCTAGGAATACCATTCCTGTGTTCTGTTGGGAGAAACAGGATGAGGGAGGGCCCAGCATCCTGTCTGGGCCAGGAAGGTGGTGGCACTGTGGCTGATTCCAAAGCCTTTTACAATGCTGTTTCTGTTTCAATGTCTAAAGAGAGTTGATATTGTTTAGTTGCTAAGCCATGTCCCAATCTTTGCGATCCCACCAGGATCCCACCATGGACTGTAGCCCACCAGGTTCCTCTGACCATGGGATTTCCCAGGTAAGAATACTGCAGTTGGTTGCCATTCCCTTCTCCAGGGCATCTTCCCGACTCAGGGACTGAACCCACATTTCTGAGTCTCCTGCACTGCGGGAGGATTCTTTACCCCAGGTAAAGAGAGACAGCAACATAAATGTGTACATAAAACAGCTAGAGAACACTTCATGCAGACCAAGCAAATCTGTAAAAACACACACAGTCAATAAAATTTTTGTGACACTTCTGAAGATTTTTTGCAAACAAAGGATATTTGTACATATACGTACAAGACACTAAATACTGAAGACATGTTTAAAGATGTCTAAGTAAATAAGACACCAATTTACAGACTCACCGAAGTTGTGCCGTTGCTAACTTTCTATGATGCTCTAGAGGGACATAAATGTGAATTTATTTAAGTGTGTTGTGTATTTCAGAGACTTTGCATGTTACGATGGTACTTGGCCTAATCACTTCAGTTTAAGGTTTTAAAAAATATGTGTATGCTCTCTGTAGATGGAAAGATTACAAGACAGGAAGAGGGATTTATTTCTCCCCTAGGAAAGTGAGCAGGATTGAAATAATAACACAAAGGATCTCATGCATTTTAAAAACTCTGTTTGAAATAGAAGACTTGGAACCAAATGTGCCTTACTTCAGCTCTCTCTCCAGCAGTATATTCTTTTCCCATTTTCCATGCACTGAATTTCAGAGGGAGTCACAGCTGTAGCTGGGACAGACTGGCATGGTACCATGTCCTGGGGGCAGTTCCTCAGTGATTGTATTTGTGTCATCTTTGATTCCATGGGGCTTGGGCTTAAGTGATTAGAAAGTCTCAATCCTTAATAATAAATTGTAAGACATAATTGAGAAATAACCCAGCATAATATATAGTTTGCTTCACTGTTAAAAAAAAGCTATGCATGCATGCTCAGTTGCTTCAGTCGTGTCCCACTCCTTGTGACCCTGTGGACTGGAGCCTGCCAGGCTCCTCTGTCCATGGGATTCTGCAGGAAAGAATACTGGAGTGGGTTGCATTGCCTTTCTCCAGGTTATCTCCCCCTCAGGGATCGAACATGCATCTCCTGCATCTCCTGCATTACAGGCGGATTCTTTACTGCTGAGCCACTGGGGAAGCCCCAGAAGAGCAATAGTCATAATGGAATTGCAAGTACCTAATTTGTTAATTCTGGATATAATGGGGCAGGGACTAGTTTAGGTGTGTGGGAAGATGGTGCATCCGAGTGTTGGGGAAATTAGGATATTCAGAATGCAGCTGGGTATATATGTTCTTAGACCAGAGATATGGTCAAAACAGGAAGTAAACTTGGTTGACATCAGTTTAAACACAGCAAGAAAAATCATTAGAATGTGTGAAAATATCCAGTAATATTGAGGGAACATAGCATTGAGCTGTGTCTATTTTGGCCAAAATACACCTGCATTTCAAAAAATTAAAAAAAGAAATTGTCTGTTCTATTCAGTCTGGACCACAAATGGAAAGATCTTAAGTCCTACCAATGTGTTCTCATTTGACTGTGTAAAACACGAGACCAGGGTGCAGCAGAATTTACCCTGCGCAGACTAAATCTCCCACCTAGAGTTACTGCTATTATAGATATGGAACTAGTATAGATATTGGGAAGAGAACATCCTAGATTGATATTTTTTATTGTAAATGATTTGTTGGAAACACAACATCTTGTTTTCTTGATGAGTTTATAAAAAACTAAACTTGGGATGTATCTTTGGTTAGTTTGAGGCATAATAAATTCAAATGGAACCCCTTACCTTCACTGATGTTGTTTCCAAGCCCTAGGTAAATTAGCATCTCCTATCTTGATTAGTGTGAATTATTGGTAAGAAACAAACCTTTTGTTTATGTATTTATTCATATTTGTCCATTACTTTTTTGAGCAGTGTAACTAAGGTATAGTTGTCATGCAATGAATTGCAAATATTTTAAGTGGAAAATTTGATAGGTTTTGACTTATGGATACCCCTGGGTACCATCATTACATTCAGGAAAAAGTAACACATCTATCATGCCTCCAAAGTTTCCTCATTGTATCCCTCCTCCCTCCTGATCCTCTTCTCATTCCTTTCCTCTAGGACATAACTGATTTATGCCTCTGTAGATGAGTTTGATGGAGAAGGCAATGGCACCCCACTCCAGTACTCATGCCTGGAAAATCCCATGGAGGGAGGAGCCTGGTGGGCTGCAGTCCATGGGGTGGCTAAGAGTTGGACACGACTGAGCGACTTCACTTTCACTTTTCACTCTCATGCATTGGAGAAGGAAATGGCAACCCACTCCAGTGTTCTTGCCTGGAGAATCTCAGGGACACGGGAGCCTGGTGGGCTGCCGTCTATGGGGTCGCACAGAGTCGGACACGACTGAAGTGACTTAGCAGCAGCAGCAGCAGCTGATGAGTCTGAGTTGTCTAGAATCTTATATAAATGAAATCATACAGTATGTGCTCTTCTTTGGGAGTATCTGACTCCTTTCATTCATGTCATTATTCTGAGACTCACTCTTGTCGTAATGTCTTAGTAGTTTCTTCCTTTTTTATTGCTGAGTAGTATTCCATTTGCATGGATATACTATAGTTTGATTATCTATTTGCCCACTGATTAACGTTTGGTTTTATTTTTCCAGTTTGGGGTTATTACAAATAAAGCTGCTATGAGTTTTGTGTGCTAATCTTTGTGTGGATATATGCTTTCATTTCTCTTGAGAAAAAGCCTGGGAGTGGAATGACTAAATCATGTGGTAGGTGTGGGTTTAACCTTTTAAGAAACTGTGTAACAGTTTAGTAAGAACTGTGTAACAGTTCTTAAAGGTTTAACCTTTAAGAAACTCTTTCCCAGAGTGCTTGTAACTTTATATTCCCACCAGCTGTATTTGAGATCCAACTGCCAGGTATCCTCATATACTTGATATGTGCAGTTTGAAGTTTAGTCACTATAACAGGGGCATGGTGGTATCTTATTATGGTTTTGTTTTGCATTTCTACAATGATTAATGAATGGTGCTGAGCAAATTATGTTGTTCCTTTATTTTGTCTAGTCAGTCTGGCTAGAAGTTTATTGATCTTCTTAAAGAATTAACTTTTGGTTTCATTGATTTTTCTCTATTGTTTTCAGTTTTATATTTCATTGATTTCTCCATGGGCTTCATTAGTTTAATTATTCTACTGACTTTGTACTTTATCTTCTCTTCTTTTTCTAGTTACTTAGGGTGGAAGCTGATATTATTGATCTGAGACTTTTTTCTAATAAAGCTATTTAGTACTATAAGTCTCCCCAAGCACTACTTTAGAAGAATTCTGCAAAAAAAAAAAAAAAAAAAAAGATATTCACTGTTCCCATTTTCATTATGTTCAAGTACTCCATAATTTCTCTTTTGTTTTCTGTCTGTGACCTATGGGTTATATAAGTGTATGTAGTTTAGTTTCCAACTATTTGAGATTTTTTTTGGAGATCTTTCTGTTATTGATTTACATGCAACTCCATTGTGGTTAGGGAACACACTTCGAAAGACTTGAATCCTTTTAAATTTATTGGGGTTTTTTAATGGGTCAGACTGTGATCTGTATGAATGTATTCTGTTGCCATTGAATGGAGTGGTTTATAAATATTTATTAG